TAATTTTTTTAAGTCTAATCATGAAATTAATTAAATATAGTATGTTTTGTGACAAAAATTTATTTTTCTTATTAAATATTCTTTCAATTAACATTAATACTGTTTTAACAATAATAAGATTTAATGGATTGAACATGGATAGCAATTGTTTATAGATAAGTGAATTACATTAAATAAACTAAAATTACAAGTTTTATTAGTAGTCGGTTTTGCAATTTCTTTAAGAAAAAATGTTACAGATGAATATATTTTTTTATTTTAATCTTTAGTTTCTTTTAAGAAACTGTTTTCAGGCACTGGACATCCCTTTATTCTAAAACATTAACTAAAAAATTTTTTAGATTAATTTTTATAATAAAATACATACGCAGTCTATATATTATTCAAGAAATTCTTTTATCTGATAAAATTTTATCAAAAAAATTTATGTTTATTTAAATAATTTATTATAATAATATAATAAATGTAATTAAAAATGTGCGTACTTAAAAATTCAAGACGAATCGATTGGTACCCCAATATCAATAAGATTTTGAAAGTTCTAGTTATCTAAATATTATATTAATTATTTAGATAATCCTATTTAATTACTTGATTACATTTGAGTAACTGCTGCAGAAAAAAGAAAAGATTTATATAAATTTTATATTAATAATATTCAATTATAAAATCAAAATAAGATGAAAAAACGAATAAAATTTAAATCTCATTGTTATCTGTTCGATTCGTCTTGAACAGTTGGTACCTGAGAATTTTTGTACTCACATATAAATAAATTATAATGACGTATGTATTTTATTACTTTGAAATATAATCATTTGTAACTATCTTTCGATAAGACATTATTCTATCCATGTTTTTTTATTTTTAAGATACTGTATTTCGTAATAATATAAAAAATATATTTTTGCGTGCAAATCTTGATCTTGTGTATTATAAAATTGTGATTAATATCGATTAGTTATCGTTAAAATATTCGATAATTGCATAATATTTGCATTATTTGTATAAATTTGGAAAAGGGTAACAATTGTTAATTCGTTGCCAAGAGCCATGGGCGCAATTATAAGAATAGTTCAAAAAATTTGGGATTGGTTTCCTCCTGCAACGGAGTTCTTAATGTCTAACAAATCACTTAACTTTCTTTCGCGTTGATGACGTAAAACTTGATGAGAAGCAGAACACAGCTTGCTCTCGATGGAGATCGTTCTTTTTTCTATCGGATACCATTCAACGTCTTTCTCGGAAAGACCTGGTCTCATTGTTGAACTAATTATTTTCTATTTAACGCAGTGATAACGCAGTGTTTCCTCGCGATTTTTTAGAAATTCATAAAGTTATCTCTCTGTTGAAAGTAAAGTGAGAAATAGAATTTATTACGTGCGATTAAATTGTTTGATTCATTTCATTATATTATTTGAATCATAGATGCGATATTGCAACTATATATATATATAGTTAATAATTGACATTCTTTTTTATTGAAAGATATATATATAATAAATTTATTAACAATCTTTGTTAACAATTTTTGGTTGCTCACGATTGCTCGCATAAATTAAAAAAAAGCAAAACAAATTTTGCAATTGTATTTGATAATTAATAATAAATGCTAGTAATAATCATTTGTCGATTGGACGTATAGCTACATATTTTACGCGACTGTGAGAATTTTGTGTTATTATATGCATACCGAATGTTTTCTCTGTAATTTCATATAAAAAGAAATATTGCGCGTATACATATTGTACATTATATAATATTTTCAGTTTTATAATGTAATTTTTTTGTAATATGTTATGTATAATGTAAAGTAAATTGTATAAAAAATAATGTAAATAATAAAAATGTAAAGAAATATACCATAAAATGCGATAATTTTAGCTATTTTGTAATTCTTAGAATTAACAACAGTAACTGTAAATATCGTTATATATTGTCATTGATTATATATTGTCAGATTTCATACATGAAAAAAACTACGCAACGACAATCGATATTGTCATTAAGAGTTACAGAATAAAAGCCTTCGTCCCAGAAACTTTAACATAAATTATAAAAATACATATGCAATGCATATGTCCAAAATCACGACATAAGACTCTTAAAATTTTTTTAAAACAATAGTTCGATCAATTTTTATAAAATTACGTTTTTAAAATGTCATATGTCCAAATTTTGCGTGCTATATTGTCAAAATTTGGGCTAAATTTATTCTGATTTTAAACAAAAATTATCCCATTTTATGGTATTGTAAAGGAAAGAGGACTGCCGATCGGATGGCAGGGGATGTGGTGGAGGGCCTCTATAAATTAATTTGTTTTTAAAACTTATATGAAAAAGTATATTATATGCGTAGTTCGACATTCGAGTGTAACATATTTTATAACTTTTTTGTATAATATATTGGTTTGAAAGTTAAAGAAAAAAAGAAAATGAAAGAAGTAGCAAGCTAACGTTATTTGTCGTCATTTGACGTTAAATGATGTTTTCAATATTATTTTGATATCAAAATTAGGAGAAATAACGTGAATTTATTAAAGTAAAAAAAAAGGACCGTCGATTATAATCGGGATGGTGGAGGGCCTCTACAAGTTAAATTGTATTTGCCACATTATCTGAAAAATGTATAAAAGTAATTTGATTATAACATACTTTATAATTTTTTGGATAGTTTGTTGTATTAAAAGTAAAAAAAAGAAAGAATCCTCACGTAACAAGCTAATGTTATTTGTTGTTATTTAACATCAACATAACGACAAATTAAAATAATGTCAGTTTGCTAAAGTCAAAAAGAGGATCCTTAATAGCTACATTCAGCAGAGAAAACAGCTTTGCAACTGCTATAAAATTTTTATAAGATAAGATTTTTCAATATAATTTATTTATATATTTAGATCTATAAAAAACAATGGCAAGAACGAATCATCTTGAAGAATTTTACAACACTTGCAAAGTTACTTCTTCTAAACGCAGTTAATATCTATATTTCTACTGAAAGTGAATATAGTTCTAATAAATCTATTGTGCATGAAGACATATGCAAAAAAACCGCACTTATATTCGAATACATACTTATCGTCAAATGGCTCGACTTAGCTTCATGTAGTTCTCAATTGCAATTATTCACATAAAAAAAGAAATATATAACATTGCATGTATTATAATAACTTTTCAAATTAATATTTCAGCAAAAGATCATCACGATCGTTTAAATATTTATTTCTATAATCATTGTTTATGCTTAATAGTTAAAATTTTATTAATTTTTTTCTTATTACTAATCTTGAGAAAAAATATTTTGTATGTAATTATATATAAAATTATAATCTTAAAGAAGTCTACGATTAAGCGATCGATGCGATACATAAGGAAAAATTCAGGTGTCTTTTTCTCACAAAAATGCAGAAAAAAGGATATTCGTGAAAAAATATCCACATAAATGCCACGCTGGCGCATTCTGTTGTTTTTATTGCCGTAGCTTACTTACATACATGTATATAAATAAACATATATATATATATAAATCAAACATATATATATAAATATATATATATATATATATATATGTTTGATTTTTGAAAGAAAGCAAGAAAGAAAGCTCTAATGCAGGAATGAAAAACAGGCCTAAAGATTACGAGCGAAGGAATTCATAGTCTCTTTGAAAAGGAACATCGTGAATTGTAAATAAAGATATAGATGAGAAACATCGACGCGTAGTTTGCAGGTCATAATCATTTATTGTTTCGAATATCTGTATGTATTAGGTGTTGGAATTAATTCGTAGCGTTTTACAAGTGATGGGAAGTACTTTCATTAATGTATTTTTTAATGCTCATGTGAAATAAATAACATTCTTTCATTAAAAACGCTACGAATTAATTCCAACACCTAATACATAAATTAAATTATTTGAATATTATGACTGGAAGATTTTACATTAAAGTTATAATGTAATAATATTTAAATTTATATTTTACATATTTAAATAATGCAATACATATTATTTTCTTTGGAAATTTTTTGCAAAAACATAATAAACTAATATTTTGAATTAAGTTGTTTTTATTTATTATGTTTTACTTGACAACGAAACTTCTATTTAAACTATATGCACAAAAATAAAGAATTTTTTAGTTTTTAAGTAATAAATAATATAATAAGTAATGTACGCTACCGTCAGAAAGTTTAGAACACATTGTGATATAATCTTAAGACACATAATTTATGCTAAAATTATAAAGTTAAATAGTAATTGTTTTTTTATTTAATTATTAGGTGTTGGAATTAATTCGTAGCGTTTTTTAATGAAAGAATGTTATTTATTTCACATGAGCATTAAAAAATACATTAATGAAAGTACTTCCCATCACTTGTAAAACGCTACGAATTAATTCCAACACCTAATATTATATCTTCAGGGTCATATAATGCTGTAAAAAATAAAATTGAACCTGCATTTTAAATAAAAAGAATTCACAATTAAGTCTTTAAAACGCTTAGTCTTAAATTTTCTGACGGTAATGTATATTATTACACTTTTTAATTTTATATATATATATATATATATACAGTTTTTCAAAGACTGTGATATTTTGAAGAGAGGACATGATGGCTAAAACCTATAACCACAAAATGCTGCCGCCCTCTGAAGAAGTAGATGTAAACTACCCAACAATATCCACTTTGTGCTCCTGATGAAAATAAATCGCTGAAATTGTTGAAATATTAATTTATTAATTTATTAATACTTATTAATATTTATTAATTTAATAGATTTTATTTATTTTAGCGATTTCAACTATCTATTTCCGTCAGGAATACCGCAAAAAGATGGATATTGTTATGTAATTAACATCAACTTCTTCAGAGGGCAGTAGTGCGCGACAGCATTTTGCGGTTACAGGTTTTGGGTCGTCATGTTCTCTCTCGTGTTTCTCTCTGATATTACCGACTAAATGTAATAATTTTTGTATAACAATTATTTTCTTCCTCTTTTATAGATTTGAAAATCCTTTTCCAGAATTAATGTATACTGATTAATACGTGTCTGTTGCAATTTGTTTCGGTTTATAGAGCAGTGCGGAGCGTGAGGTACATACGAGTGTATGTGAAGTTTTTCGACATTTTTTTATTGCATTTGCTCACTTTCGTTCATCTGTGGAGCCGTAATATTGGCAGGATCGGTATCGCCAGGAAGCGCTTTCACCTAGTCGAGTGCCAAAATAAAACTGAGAAGGAAAGCTTTTCACATTTTTTAACATTAAAAATATACTTTTCTTTCATAGAACCTTACAAATAGAAATAAAAAATGCCGCGAATTATGATAAAGGGTGGTGTCTGGCGGAATACAGAGGTAAATGATATATGATATTTTCTAACCTAAAGATTTATGTATGTGCATGTTGTATGAATAATTTTGTTAAATGAAAAAATTCATTGTTTTTAGGATGAGATTTTGAAAGCGGCTGTAATGAAATATGGTAAAAACCAATGGAGTCGTATAGCATCTTTATTACATAGAAAATCAGCCAAACAATGCAAAGCCCGTTGGTTTGAATGGCTGGATCCCAGCATAAAGAAGACTGAATGGAGTCGAGAAGAAGATGAAAAGCTTCTCCATCTTGCAAAATTGATGCCCACACAGTGGCGTACAATTGCACCAATCATTGGTCGAACAGCTGCCCAATGTTTAGAAAGATATGAATATTTACTGTAAGTATCATCAGGCTTTATTTGAGTTAGGCCTATTCCTACCAATGTGATTTAATTTTAATCTCAGTTCAACAAACTTTCATCTTTCTAGTTCTAAAAATTAGAAAAAGATGAAGAGTAAGTTGAACCAAGATTAAAGTTAATCTATATTGATAGAAACAGACATTAAACAATGTGTTCTAATCAATATATTCTTGCATTACTATTGAATGAATTATTTCAGTGATCAAGCACAAAAGAAGGAAGAAGGAGATGATGCTGTAGATGATCCTCGTAAACTTAAACCTGGTGAAATCGATCCTAATCCTGAAACCAAACCAGCGAGACCAGATCCTAAAGATATGGATGAGGATGGTAGGTTAAGGTTTATTAATAAGGTTTTATAATAAGATTTAAATTAAGATTTAATGAGGTAATTAAAAATATTAGTTGTTTTCCATTTACATTAAAATTCAGATATATTTAATTTATGATATAATTTATGTCATAATATTCAGTTGAATGCACATTCTTTTTCATTCTAAAACCTAAGTAAGATTCAACTAAGTTTTTACACAAACTGAAGATATTTACCGAGTCTTATTAACTCACATTAAAAGAGATTTTAAAACCTGTATTGTCATGCGATAACTTTGTCACCAAAAGAAGTAATGACATTATCCGAGTATAAAATACATAACTTTAAACTTAGTATCATTTATGTGGAAATGGAAAGCTAATTTATAACACATTTATCACATATTTTACATTAGAACTGATTATAGTCTATAACAAAGCAACTGTAAATTTTCAATGATTGTATTTTTTTACAGAATTGGAGATGTTGTCCGAGGCACGTGCTAGGCTAGCAAATACTCAGGGCAAGAAGGCTAAACGTAAAGCACGTGAAAAACAATTAGAAGAAGCACGTAGACTTGCAGCTTTACAGAAGCGTAGAGAATTAAGAGCTGCTGGTATTACTGTGTCTCAAAAGAATAAACGCAAACGTGGTGTCAATTATAATACAGAGATACCGTTTGAGAAACGACCTGCATCAGGTTTCTATGACACCTCCAATGAACATGTTGATCCTTTGGCGATCGATTTTTCCAGAATGAGACAACAACACCTAGATGGTGAACTCCGACAAGAAAAAGAGGAGATGGAGCGCAGGAAAGATAAACAGAAATTGAAACAGCGCAAAGAAAATGATATACCTATGGGTATGCTCAATAATGAAGAGCCTATAAAGAAAAGGAGTAAATTAGTCTTACCAGAACCACAGATCTCTGATCAAGAATTGCAACAAGTCGTGAAGCTTGGTAGAGCTTCGGAAGTATGTCCTTTAATTAACTTTTTTATACTGAAAATTATAAGTTTATTTTTTATTTCTGCATTATTTATCGCTTAACAACTGTCATGTATATCTATAATTGGATATGGGTCTAAGATGTCGCGTATATCAATTTCAACACATATTTCCTATTACTGCCATTTATATATATAAATTGAAAACACTATATTAATTTTATATTGTGAATTTTCAAGAAAAACTATTAATCTAGACATTTTTATTTAAAAAAATGTTTTATTGGAAAGTTGATTTTAATGCGAAAAATTTATTTGAAATTATAAAAAAAAACGAATTAATAGCGATAACAAATATATGTGTACAAATATGCATATATTTATATTTATGCACGTGGCGCAGGAATGATATTTATTATCCCAACGCCGCTTATATTTTTTACATTGATCAAACATCCATAAATATTTTGAAAATCATTAAATTTTAGGTCATATACCAACTTATTTTGAGAATTGGACATAAAATATTAGTGCGTCAAAGGATCGATTAAAAAAATCTATGTGGCAAAGTATTAATATATTGTTATAGGTTGCACGAGAAGTTGCTACTGAGAGCGGTATTACACTCTCCGACAGTTTATTGGCTGATTATTCTTTGCCTACAAATGCATCAGCAACACCTCGTACTCCAGCTGTTACAGATAGAATATTGCAAGAAGCTCAAAATGTTATGGCTCTTACACACGTGGATACACCATTAAAAGGTTAAAATATAATTATAAAACTTTACAATTTTACACATTGTTAAACTACACTCTACACTGACATGCGCATAAATATTTTCTTTTAGGCGGGTTGAACACTCCACTGAATAATCCCGATTTTACTGGCGTTGTGCCTCCTACCAATGTGATCGCAACGCCGAATACGATTTTGGCTACTCCATTTAGATCTCAACGCAGCGATGGAACACCTATGAATTCGTTCAACACGCCAAGCGGAGCATCAGCACGAACGCAAAATGGAGTTTTAGCGGCAACACCTGTTCGCGATAAACTTAATATAAATCCAGATGAAAATCTAGACGGTTCAGAAACTCCACTCATACAGACGCAGGCAAGGAACTCGTTACGCACGGTACTGAGTTCTTTACCAGCACCGTGTAACGATTATGAAATAGATGTCTTCGACGGAGAGGTAAACGAGGAAAGTACTAGTGCGCCTGCAACTGATATAATTGAAGACCAAGCGGATATTGATGCGAGACAACAACAAGAATTATTAGAAGAAAGTGAGTCTATTAAAACAATTCGTTGATAGCTTTACATTATAATCTTGAGTGAGTTTTCCAAATTGATGATTTTATTACAATTGCTATGTTTAATAGATTATAAATCCTTTGCCCATACTTTTTGATTGAACAATTAATTTTAAATAATGTTCGTAAAAAAATAATATTCGTATGGCTCCAATAGCCTATTTTTAACGTATGAAAAGAAGAACATAAAAAAACCACTGCACAAGTTATAATTTGTGATACTTAATTATCATTACATTAATAAAAACATTAGACGTTTCGGCCACAATCTGGCCATCCTCAGTAAATTCACAATATTCTTAAAACGCAGAGTTACATATAGCTGACATTAATTCAACCATCGTATGATATAATTATAAATGTTCTTTCATATGTGAAGGTGCCTCGTACAATAATATTACATCGCCAATTATCATATAACGAAAAGTATAGAACGAGAATTTTCAGATTCTAATTTAACAAATTTACGTATCATTAATATCTTCTAATCGAAATGTGTGAGAATAGAATTGTTATCTGTTTTACAGCAAAAAAATAATGATGAATCTCAAGTACATCCTTTGCACAGATGGAAATTTGTCGTGACATTGTGTGTTATTATTTGTCATATCATATATTTTATCTTTTATCTTTTATATTTTAGCACTATTTATATATATGAGTCAAAAGTTTAGAAAGTTCTAGAATTATTTATTAAATGTGAGAGAGATCTTTCTTAAGAAGAGGCAGATAAATATCAGGCAAACTTCAGTGTCACTTTGCTTATTGATATCACTTATTTGGCCTTTAATGTATATCATTTTAGAAATTCTTCTTTTGATTGTTCTATGTCTAAAATTCTTATGTTAGCCCAATCCAATTTGAATTTAAAAAATCTCCATGTACAGGAGACCACGTCGAATGATATAATACTAAAATTTTTATCGATTACCTTTTCATTGAGTTTATTTACAATATCAAAACTGTTTTTTACATAACTAAAATTCTTTTTATTACTATTATCTATAATTTCTTTTAAGAAGGTCGCCAGTGGATAAAAAGCACTGTTAATGCAGCTAATTATCAATCTTAGAGGATGACCTTCCTTATGAATTTTTGGAAGTTCATAAGAACTCGAAAGTTCGTCGTCCGATACATACAATTTTTTGTATAAGTTTAGATCGATGTACCCCTTGTTTTTTAGTAAGTTACCGATTTCAGATGTTATTTTGTTAGTGGGATCTTTATTTATTAAATTGTATGTGGTCTGATCGTTGAGAATCTCATACATTTTCTCTCTGTAACTTTCCCAATTCATGATTACTGTAGTATTACCTTTATCCGCTCTAGTGATTAAAATGTCAAGATTCTCTGAGATGAATCGCTTCACTTCCTTTACACCTTCATATATGATCTTATTCTCGGATGATTTAATGTTCACAATTCTTTATTGACTTGAGTATTTGAATTGTTTCGTTCTTAACCATTTTACATAAGTCAGCTCTGAAAAGATACTCCTTTCTTTGCCAACGACATTATTAGGTAAGTTGAATTGCTGACCTAATTGCAATACAACTTTGGCTTTATCTGAAATTTCAGTATTACTAAGATTTATTAGCCATTGTTGGTTAGTACTCGTTATTTCAAAATTTGTATTGAATCCGGACCAATATTAATATCTTATAAGATAATTGTCTTTCATTAACCGTCATATTTTTGGTTGAAATTTTCTTTAATTTCAACGGTGCACTAAGAGTATCACCATTCATCTCAGAGTCTAACAATTGCATATTATATTATAGTTAATATTCTCAATTTTCATTCTTTCTCTATACTTATGACTAGCTCGCAGGTTTTTGATTTTATTAGTAATCCTTTCCTATTCCTTTCGTCACATTCTATTAAAATTAGTTTCTTGTCTTCGAAAGAAAGAATTAAATATATTAAATGGTAGAATTTTTTCTATCTGTCTATATATGCTGAACATTTCAAATTTAACTTGTTCAAGATGTTTATAAGCGTCTTGTAACTCTACCCATAGATATTTAAAAATAAAATTACGTTCAAGTCTATCAATTCTTTCCTTTGAAGAATGGAACAGGTGGTTTCACGTCACCAGTTGAATGAGACGCATGAATTGGATTGGGATAACATAAGAATTTTAGACACAGAACAATCAAAAGAAGAATTTCTGAAATAATATACATTAAAGACCAAATAAGTGGTATCAATAAGCAAATAAGTGGTATCAATAAGCAAACACTGAAGGTTTGCCTGATGTTTATCTGTCTCTTCTTAAGAAAGATCTCTCTCACATTTAATAAATAATTCTAGAATTTTCTAAATTATTGACTTATACATATAATATAAATAGTGGTAACATATATGATATGACAAATAATAACACACAATGTCACGACAAATTTCCATCTGTGCAAAGGATGTACTGAGATTCATCATTATTTTTTTGCTGTAAACCAAGTAACGATTCTATTTTCACACATTTCGATTAGAAGATATTATATTAATGATACGTAAATTTGTTAAATTAAAATCTGGAAATTCTCGTTCTACACTTTTCGTGATATAACAATTGGGGGTGTAATATTATTGTACAAGGCACTTTCACATATGAAAGAACACGTTTATATATAACACACGTTTATATATAATTATATCATATGACGTTGAATTTAATGTCAGCTATATGTAACTTTACGTTTTAAGAATATTGTGAATTTACTGAGAATGACCAGATTGTGGCTGAAACGTCTAATGTTTTTATTAATGTAATGATAATTAAATATCACAAACTATAACTTGTGCGGTGGTTTTTTATACTCTTCTTTTCATACGTTTTGAATTATAAACCACGTTTGTTTTTATGAAGCCTATTTTTATTCTTAGATTTTATTTTTGATATATTTGATGAAAATATGTAATTTAATTTAAATATTTTTTTATAGAAAAAAGAGAATTGGCACGTAGATCGCAAGTAATTCAAAGAGAATTACCACGACCTGCAGATATAAATATGAATATTTTAAGACCTTATATGGATACACCATTGACTGATTTGCAGAGAGTATGTAATTTTTTTTTTATATGAAGATATTCTTATCATTAAATTTTTATGAATTAATTTGTGTTATTTGATGTTTTATATTCTTAGGCAGAAGAATTGATAAAAAGAGAAATGATAACAATGTTGAACTATGATGCGCTACAAAATCCAACACAGTCAAGTCGAAAAAGTACCGCAATATCGTTAGCTCAGGCTCAAACTTATTTGGATCAACATCCATATGATATTTTTGAAGAGAACGATCTTCTTAATGTATATCTAAAACATCATAAATATATCTTTTCATCATATTTGTATCATTAACGTATCAGCTATTAAATCACTATTAATATTTAAATTTAGGCTAAAAAAATGTTAACGGACGAAATGGCAGTTGTAAAGGAAGGAATGGCACACGGAGAATTGAGCTTAGATGCCTACACTACTGTATGGGAGGAATGTTTGTCACAAATTTTATATCTTGAAACACAGAAACGATACACCCGCGCAACGCTAGCCTCAAAAAAAGATAGAGTGGAAGCATGCGAGAGAAAATTAGAAGAGAATCGTATGCATATGACAGGAGAAGCTAAACGCGCTGCAAGGATGGAAAAGAAGTTGAAAGTTCTGACTGGAGGTTATCAAGTAAGTGAAAAATTATTTTTTTCGATATTATTTTTTTAGAGTTTAATATAAAAATTGCTGCCATTGATATAGCATGAAGTTAGGGCGCAGTTTTTCTTTTTTATCATATAAATTTATAAATACCTTGGGATAAATAATTTAAATTTACATTATGAATTTTTGAAAACTTTTCCATGTAACCAAAAATTAAAATTTCTCATATTATTTTCAAGGATTTTGAAATTAGAGCTTGATAATACATTGAATTAATATATCATGTATGTTATATAATACTAAAATTAGAAACAATAGATTATATTATAAAAGGCTATATTATCATAATAGAACTAGATTTTATAAGATATGTAGTTTTAAAAAAATATTTTGTATTTGTTTAGTTGAATCAAAATTTACCTGATAAGATTTTTAATTGAAGCGTTAATTATAATTATTGTTTTATTTTCTACATAGACCAGAGCACAGGTGCTAACGAAGCAGCTACACGATTTGTGGGAGCAAATAGAGCAGGCTCATCTTGAACTATCGACATTTAAGTTTTTGCAAACACAGGAAGAAGCGGCGATTCCGAGAAGAATAAATGGCCTCATGGAAGATGTAAACAGACAGACAGAGCGAGAACGCTCATTACAAATGCGATACGCTCAACTACAAGACCAGTTGCAGCAGTGTCGATTAAACGATGAATCATCTTAGGAACACATTACTTGAATACATACAGCATGTAATAAGTATTACTTTACCTTATTATGTAAGTTCTAAAATTTATATACCTCGAAAATATTTTTTTTTTTTCTAATTAAAATAATCTATTCTTTTCCCTTTTAGGAATCAAATAGGAATTCAATATATAATGTTCATTGTTTCCATATTAGCTGTAAATGTTAATATTATTTTTAGGCTTATATTTGATTTATTTGATAAGAATGTGATGAGAATAACAGTTATTGTATTAAATGACAATTCTATTATAATAAATTTAAATTTGACTTTTTAAATTTTGCGAAGGGGTAAAAATTTATGATAAAAAAATCTTTTTCCTTTATAAATGCTGTAAAATAATGTAATAATAAAATTCATGATATCAAAATGTTGTGTGATAATATGCATTACTAAATGATGAATAGATAATTTAAAGAAGCACTCTTTTAGAAGCATAAAGAATAAAACGAATATAGCTAAAAATGTAAATAAGATTGTCTTAGGTCTTAGAAATCCTAGATGCGGCTTTCGTTTAGCGAGGATCGAAACCCCCTAAGGTATAATTACCGACTTCTGGTTAAGCCAGAAAGTCAAAGGGGAGGGGGGATGATCGATCGAGGAGTTGTGCGCAGTTTCACAAAGACAGTTCACTTGTTAGAGGGGCGTGTCATTATTGGTCATTACATAATGCCGAGTCGTCGCCGACAAAATGGCCTAATCAATATAATATGTTGCAAAAAAGTCCGTGCTATAAATTTATTTATCTTTTCTGAGACATAATACACACAGCTAGAATACGTATTTGCAGATTATGACTCACAAATGTGGACTCTCATTTAACACGAGCTTATTTAAAACAATTATCACTAGAAAATTCAACAATAAATATAATTTAAGAAATGCTCTCTTTGAATTTTTAAGAAAATTGTCTAATTATATTCGCATTTTTAGAATCTCTATAGAATTACAAAGACATGTAGTTATAGATTCGATATTATATTTCTTTTATCCGCCCAACATCAACTTTTTGTACCATTTTCCACCGGTAGCTTACTCTCGCATTCACCTACACTTATATCTACCTACACCGTGAAAAAGCAATAACGACGCCACTAGTATGTAGCTGGTAAATAGCGTTGGCTGCCGGAAGGCAGATGTTAACGTCGTCGTCAGCCAACATAATCCCGTATTGTCGATTGGTCGGTGCGACGCGACTGGCGAACCGGTGTCGAATCAGCGTCGTCGATTCGTCTGGCACCGCCCACCACCTCTTTGCGCGCTCACCCCCACAACCTCGCGCCGTCGAGGGTGGAGTCGACCAATGACACAGTGGTAACGGCCGTCTGACAACGTGGCCTCCGGGAGCCGCCCCCGTAGTTGCCGATGGCTAACTAGCGCTACCCCGCTATAGTCGAGTCAGCCACTCGGCCAGCAAGTCCCCGGGCCGAGTCTAGTCGCTAGCTCGCTGGAATTCCCCACCCTATCTCCCCTCCGTTTCCGCGCCCTCTTATCCTCCACCTACCCCTCCGAAACGTGTAGGCCAACGTGCCAACTAGGGAAGCGGTGGCGGCGGCGGCAGTGGAGGTGAAGAAGAGGTGTTACGCCGTGGATTCGCGTGACGTAACCCCGGTATACGCCATCGCCGTGGCCTCCTCGCCGCGACTCGCGGTCGTTTAGGGATTGGCGTCGGTGTGTTGGTTCGCACTCTGCAACCATCCACCCACCCTATCCTTTCCCACCCCCCCTCGGTATCCCATTCCACCGCCCCTCGCGGATACCCACTACCGGACTGTGTCGACCGTATCGGAGAACGACCCATGATTCTCCGTGATGTGGCTACGGACAGGAGAGATAGCTGCTCCGGCAGCCAGTCGGGCAACAACCCCTATATGCGCATATACGGACGAATAGACACACTCATACACGCGTGCAGACACATATATACATAGACATGGGCACGTGTACGCCCTTCTCGACAAGAGAGAGAGAGAGAGAGGATGAGAGGGGATGAGAGAGAATGATAGAGAAAGAGAGAGAGAGAGAGAGAGAGAGAGAGAGAGAGAGAGAGAAAGTGAGAGAGAGATGAGTAGGTACATCGAGGCTCGAAGCCATCCCGTCACGGAGAATGCTTCGGGACTTCGCGCGACCTCCTCGGCGCCGAGTCGGGACCACGGCTTCGGCTATACGTCGTTCTCTGGCGATGTTCGACTTTTGAACAGCTGCGGAGGAGATGGGCACAGGTCAGTCTCCTAAGACTCGCGGCATCTCTCTCTCACTTTCGTTTCATCTTAATACGCGATAAAGGGTTTAGCTAGTGCGATAAGCATTCGCCGCTATAAAGGGGTGCGCGACGTGAAAGTGACTTTGCGCGACGATTCCCTGCAATTTGGTGATAAATCGCAATTTGTTACGTCTTGAAAAATCGTATATCGCGATCGGTGAATACCTGACGGTATCTTGAACTGGATTGGATATTGTTTATATTTGTTATATAAATTAACCCCTGTTCTCCAAATTCGAGGGATTGTGTCACCGCATTGGAAAGCAATTATAATAGTGCTTAGAACCATTAATGTAAATCGCAAATCTTGAAAATTGAGAAATTGTGTATTGCGTTCGCACGATTAATAGTGTTCTTTTAAATTTTTTGAATGTTTATATTTATTTAAAAGTTAAATCATGTTTCGCGAGATGCTACATTTTATACTGCGATTGAGAGATAATTATAATTAATGATATTTAAATGGATTTTATCAATTGTGGTGATCGGAATTTGGGGAGTTATAATGTGGTTGAAAGGCAATTAACAGTGCTCGAATCCTTATATATTTATGGAAGTACGATTACCGTAATTGAGAAATTATATGCGTCAAAATAATTGAAAATGTTTTATGTTTGAATATAAATTTTTAATAGTTAAGTTTTTTTAATACTCTATATAATACATGTTGATTGATTGTTAATGATTAACAGACAATTTATTTTGACATGATTTTTTTACAAGTAAATGGGAAATATATTCGAGAAACTTATTCGAATCTCTTAGTAATTATTATGTTAATTACGCTTTCTTTATCAGATAATTAGAAATTAGGTGAAAATGTTTGAAAAAATAAGTCATGATTGTTTTGAATAACATATGTTTGAGAATTACTTAGAAAGCAATGTTATCTAATTCCATTGAATATATGCTTATAACTTTTACTTTTAATATAAAATATCTTTGTAATTTATTTATTGATCTCCTTTCATTAAAATTAAAATTTGACAGCAAATCTCAATAATTTTAAAATTTCATCTTAATCTGTTATTAACAAATTTCTCGAGAACTTTGGTAAACTTCAGCTCTCTTACTCTCTTACTCTCTTATCTCTTTACTCTTTTGTCCAATAGATAAATTACCACATAATTCATCCGAAGATGCAATAACCGGCCCTTAATCTTCGGGAGATCGCGGTTTTTGTTATTATGTATCTGAGAGATACATAATATGTTAAATAAAAAATATGTTTGTAAATATCTTTAGTAAGTAATCTTAAGTAGAGACACCGACTTGTAGATAATACCTATACTTATAGATAAAGTCGCTATTGTATGAATCGTAAGATTCTAACAGTTCATCATACATAGTCGGATAGGGATCATATATGTAAATGTCATACAGAAATTATAAATTTTGATAAATTGTACACTGAGAAAAATTTCTGTTGAAAATGGACAAACTAAAAGATTTTGATCATATAAAAATTTTGATTATTTTAATCAGAATTATAATATAATAAATTTAATTGGAAAATTCTGATTTGTCCACTTTCAACCAGAATTTTAATTAATCCAATCAGACTTTATCCAGTGCAGTTATTTCAATAAAACATAACACTTTTCATGCATTCATATTGTTTCTTTTTGCAAAAAACAACTTTGCAATACCAATTTAAGATATTTGTATTTCTCAGATACACTGCGATCTCCGATGTTAAATTAAGGACCGCGACCTGCTGAGGATTAAGAAAATATAGAGACTCAACTAAAATATCGTTAAAGCTAATCGGCGGTTCAAATTCTCTTTCAAGATTAATTTTTCTTTCAAGACATACCATAAACAGCGAACAATATGGCACGATATAGGATATATAGAAGAAGAAGAAGAAGACGTTGGTATACACGACGAAGGCAGTAATCCGTTGGGGTTGAAGTAACCCGGGTTGATCGGGTTAGGTTGTGAGACGCGAAGGCGGTTGATTTCCCAGGACGGGGAAGGAAGGCTTTGGTTGGCTTAGGCATGGCCGTGTTTTTCTTGCCGCGGATCATTAGGACGATTAGGGTTCCTACGAAAAGGGGGAAACAGATTAGCACCGGTGATCTTCTTGCGGCCCGCCCGCTTTTCTTAAACGGGATTTCGCGAGAGTCCTTTAATCGTCGATCTCTTTTTACTTGATAATTATTTCATTGTTATACATAATAAATCTGATAATTTAATCTTTTATCGCAATGATTATTATATCATAATTATTTAATAGATGTAGCTATTAACTATAATATTAGCTTTGAATTTCTCGAATATATATTTATGTGACAATTTTTTAGGAAATTCTGTTTCCGATAAAATTTAATTCTATGAATTGTATAATGTATAAATATGTGATTTGATATACAAATGTTATTAACTTTGTGATTCTAATTATAGTATAAAGTTGAGGAAAAGTATATTTACATTTTTAGCTATAAATAGTTTGGTTAAAAATAAACCAACCAGAAGATTCTGATTATATCAATTAGAATTCTGATTATTTCAACTAGAATTTCCTAGTTAAATCTACTAAAGTACTACTATTCTGAGATAATACTCTAGTTGAGATAACCGGAATTCTGATTGATATAATCAGAATCTTCTGGTTTGTTCATTTTCAACTAAACATTTTTCTCAGTGTAATTATTATATAATAACAAGTATATGTAAGAAAAAGATTATTGGAGATTAAGATATTTTCTACGCAACAATTTTGAAAGAATAACTTCAAAGAGATAATCGTGTAAAAAATACTACGTATTTTTTTATTATAGGAGACAGATTACTTGACATACTGTGTGATGTATGTGGCGACCGTAGTTCTGGAAAACACTACGGCATTTACAGCTGCGACGGTAATAATATTAATTCAATTTTTTTCTTAAAAATTTTAACCAAAATTTTCAAAAAGATCAAATATATTAAAGACATATTAATTACAAATAAATTTATTTATATTAAATTATTCACTTAAATAAATCTTCCTCATTGGCATTGTTGGATATTTGAAAATAACTTAACGATAACAAATTTGATCATGTATTATGCCATATTGTTATATGTAAATATTTTTATGATTATTATATCAGGTTGTTCGGGGTTTTTCAAGCGAAGTATACACAGCAATCGAGAGTACATCTGCAAAGCTCAGGGTGCTAAGAAAGGACGTTGTCCAATCGACAAGACTCACAGAAATCAATGCCGTGCTTGTCGTCTCGCTAAGTGCTTCGAAGCTAACATGAACAAGGACGGTAAGTGTGTCATGAATGATATTAATGTTTTCAATATGCAACAAATTAATGTGACAAATTTATGTAACAAGTTTGAAGTTTATGTGTAATTTCATAAGATTATGCATTTGCTCAATCAATTCTCTGTCTGTAATTACATTTTTTTTTGTCATAAGAAATTTCATTCTCAAACTCTGAAATAAAAGAGAGTGGAGTCTGATTCCCTTGCTAAATTATATTTTTTTCCACTTTTCTTTTCATTTTTACTCAATTTTTTTATTAAATAAAGATGTTAACATTTAATTAGTTAAAAAATTGCAGATTTGTAGGAAGTAAAAATATAATTGCAGACGGAGAGTTAAACTTGTATTTAGCAGGAATAGTTGGTTGTGCATTAGTATCGGCAACTTTTTCTGTTAATATTATCAATAATGAAAATTAAATTGTTAAAATATTGACTGCCGCGGAAGGGAATATCTTTTAAAATGAAGTACAAAATAGATATAAAATAGAATGTTTTAAAATTCTTTTTAATTGCTTTATTTTATTTATCTCTTTTTGGTGCAGACAGGTTGACTTTTTATAAATTCTATTTATTTTGTAGAGCAAATAATTAAATTAATAATTTTTATTATTATTAAACACGAATGAACTTATTACACATAATTATTACGTTTTTTTTTACTTAAAATTTATATTTTTCGAAGCATTTTTTAATCAAATAAATTGAACTTGATTTAATGTTATTTAATGTTATTTAATGTGATCATTAATATCTTTAAAATTTATGTCTTTGAGAATTTCAAGATTTTTTGTGTACATAGTCCTGATATTTGAATATTATTACAGTATGAAACTTCGTGAAAAAATAATAAAAGTGCCATTTTTCTCCGTACAATAGTTTTTTTAAATATTGACGTTTAAAATTTGACTGAGTCATAAGTGTGGTTAAAAAGTCATCTGTCCGTGTGATATGCATTAGAATGTTATTAGATAAAATTAAACGAAACATTGCCGTTATATCACACGGATGACTTTTTGACCAACATTTATGATTAGTCAAATTTCAAACAGTTATACTTAAAAAGCTATTTGAAAAAATGATTTACACTTTTATTACTTAATTTTTCACAAAGTTACACGCTACATAATGTTCCCTTGACTATTGGGACATCCTATATATATTTTAAATATCGTTCGAATAATTAGTTATTTTTTTGGATTTTATACACATTTATATTTTTAATAGAATTGATTATTTAAATTTCTGTTTGGTGTTTTATGTTTTCATATTTTAATGCGTCATACATATTGACGTAAAAATATTTGTTAAGCAAGTCCATCAATAATAAAGTCATAAAAATATATTTGTCTTTCAAGTCTATCAATTAATAACTGCAAGAATCATTCTATCGATTCTCTTATGTTTTCGCGAAAGGCCACAAATAAACCACGAAGAAATCGACTGTAACTATCGGTCAACCAAACTCTCCTAAATAAACCTCCGCCAACAAAGCGTTGACCACAGTCGAACAGTTCACGCGTTATCAGTGTAAAAGCTAACGTGATGAAACCAATATTGATGAACAAGATATCACTGCTGATGAAAATTTCAGATACTAATGCGTCATCTTGGATTGAATATTATTTTGTCTATATTGCGCGATACTATGGGAAACTCGAATGTGGGCTTGCTAACCATAAAGATGTTATAAACGAATACGCACTGTCATGCGACGTTTCAGTTTTTCGATGACATCTCATTTGATCGACGCCACATTTCTTAGGGCAAGCACTTTTGATATTTAATAACTTAAAGATATTTATTCAAGCAAAATGGAATCTTTTAAAATGAAATACAAAATAAGTACAAAATAGAATGTTTTACAATTCTTTTTAACTGCTTATTTTATTTATCTCTTTTTGATGCAAACAGATTTACTTTTTATAAATTTTACTTATTTTATAGAGCAGATTAAAATTTTTAAGATAAATTAAAATTTTTATTTCAGAAATTGTAAAAACATAAAACCATGGATAGCTTAAATATTATTTTACATAATTTGTTGAAAGAATGAATATACCTCAGTATTAAAAGAAGATTAAGTTAAGCCTTTAAATACAAATATGAACATATAAATCCGGGCAATGTAAATATATGTATAAAAATTGATGACAAAAATGATAAGTAAATCTTTAATTTTTTCTTTGAACTTATATTTTGTCTTCTTCCAGTTATTTCAAAATTATCTATTAACTAAATAAAGAAGTCAAGAAAAGAAGGAAGTCATAAAGTGATAAGATTCGTGCGCTATCATTTTCTATCTTGAAAACATTAAAAAGTTTGTAACAGAACATTTTGAGCATCAAACAACAATAATCAATTTCGGCAGAAGCTAACTTAATTTTCTTGGCGGTTACTTAAAGGTGTATAAATCATTTATAGCCAAACAGAAAACGCAGACGACTTATGCTAATGTATCCATTATTCATAATGTGCCCATGAGCTATTTCTCGATTCAGGAGCGATATTTAGAAATGAGCGAGCTCTTGATCTTCCGCATAAGAGTTACACGGATGGGCTAGGTGTACACGGGTCGATGTTCCTCGCCATCGACGGCGATATAACAGCGGTGGAGGCTCGTTTTCTGGGACGCTTAGCAGGGGCTGGATTCTGTGCGGAGGTGGAGAGAGGTAGCGGCGAGATGGAAAGAGAAAAGGTAGATGGGATGGGATTCGCGTCAGGGTAGAAGGGAGGGAAAGTAGGAGGGAAGGAGGGGGTGATACGAGACCGCTTGGCAGGGATGAGGGTGCTCAGGGTGTCGGGGGTGTTTAATGCAGGACGGGTGCTCCGGTTCCCAGCGGTTGTCGAGGCTCCAGACGCGAGTAAGAGAGGAGATTCAATTAGTGGCAGAGCTTCCTAACGTTAAGGAGACTCCACACGGGGGTTGAAACACACAGATCTTCCTCACTCCGCCGCTTCCTTTTACCGACACCTTCATCCGCGAATACACTCGTACACGCTAACGCTCTGCCACGTCATTCTCTGCCTCTGTCTTGAAATTACTCGTACTTTGTTGGCGGAGTTAATTAGATGCTGTGATTAATTGCTGACATATAGCCAGAACAGCAGAATGGCGTCGAGGCACTCTTTGTTTCATATATAACTTCTACGGGTTTTCTTTTTCTTAGATATATATAATTACAAGTGTATATATAATTAAAAAAAAGTTGATAATTCAACAGTCATTGAAATATTAAATGTCAACTGCATATTTGTCAAACGCATTATAAAATTTATTTTTTATTTCTGTACTGATACACATGATGAAATAAATTAAAGTGAAACTAATTATATTCATATTTTCTAAGTTGCTTTTTAAGAAAGCATATAATATTTAATATCAATAGATATACAATAGAGAGACATATATATTTTATTAACGAAATCATATTTAAATTATTAATAAAACATTTAAATTATTAATAACAAAAGTTTGCTTGTGGCTGATCAAATTAAGACTATTTTACTGACGCTTTCAAATCATCGTGTCTGATACCATACGGTACTCTACTACTGATTATCCTCAAAATTTTAAAACACGTAAAAAATTGAACGATTTACTTACATAACATAAATCTATTCTTATTATATTGAAAATTTAGTATAAAATTTTGAAGAATTTAAAAAAGAACTTATTGTTTGATCATTGAATAATATTCATATTTTTTAAAAATCCTTTTCGTATAAAGGAAATTTATTTTAATCACATATTTCATATCAAATAATATTGTTAGATCCTGAACAAAATTTTGAGGAATTGAATAAAAGTTTATTGTTTAATGCGTCAAATAATATAGATATTTTTTGAAAATGTATTTAGTACAGAAAATTTCTATTCACTGTACATTTGATATCAAATTAGATCCTAAATAGTTTAACATGTAAATTACTTAATTCAAATTATAATTAAATTATAATTAAACAGTTAGATTAAACGATAAACAACAACATAGAGAGCAGAATTTATTTCGTCCGAGAAATCAAGTCTTTTAAGAACAATAAAAAATTACAGAAATTATAACATTAAAACTTAGTTCTTATAATATCATAAAAGCGTATAATCGATCGAAGTGGTCTTTAGAAATATATGCTCAATATTCGCTTTATAAACGCGAAGTTTATAGTGAGAGTATGACCGGTATTAGTTCGTCTTATTTTAAAACCGTCTTACATGACGTCTTAAGATAGCTCTTTAATTGGCCATAATCATGATACTTTAAGGATTATATTTGTTCGTTTTTGTCGTACAATGAAAATTGTCAAGCCTGTTGATTGGCTATTAAAATAGAAAGATGCGAGAACCTCTCTGTAGCCTTTATCGACAAAAACGAATAAATAAAATAGCACCGTAAGACTGTATTTGAGACAGTTTTTAATATAAGAACTACAAATATTGATCTATAACTATATAGAATAGCCACTTGAATCTGACGGACATTGAAATCACCGAGCCTCGAAAAACGTTGTGAAGCGCCCATAAGATGTAGGTGACCACTCGGGTTATGCGCTATACATTATGTACGTGGTACTCGGCGCATCGCGAAGCCCCCGTGACGCCGCAGGCGCGCAATCATCCGCTCGCTGACAACCCCGAAACCTCCAACGCACTCACACCCTCCCGACGTAATCGACGCGCTTTCCTCTTTCCACGAAAATTCGTTCCCGCCTGTGATATTATCCGTCTGTGTTGGCGCACCGTGTCGCGCCGGCAAAATGCCGTCCTCTCACCCCCGTGCGATTTCGCGCGCGCACGCACACGTACAGATGTATATATATATATATATATATATATATATATATATATATATATGTATTACGTGAAATATGGCGTTAAATGATGTCGGAAGATTACCGAGCGGCTTACCGAATGGCGGATTTGTAATTCTTGGCGATCGTCAGGGCCCGCGAAAGGAAATGGATTGTCGTTGGTAATGTTCTTGATATTAATACTTTGTGC